TATATATATATATATATATATATATATATATATATATATGTGGATGTATTTGTGTATGTGGTCGCTCGGCAGTTGCATATGGCGCCGCATTTTTAAGAATTGATTAAAGTTGATTGAATCATACAGCATTTTAAATGAAAATTTTCCGAATTAAACATTTTAATCATCTACTTTATCCATTATTCATTACATCAACTCATTAATATATTTCATTATTTATTGTTTCATTTAATATTTATAATGCATAAATCAATTATGGTTATTTTATTTAATTTATCTGGAGAGAAAATTTATTTGTTTTGGGAAACAATTATCAGTTAAGAGGATTTTATTATTATCATTATTTTCTGTAATTAAATTTTTGATCGGCTTGGAAAAGATTTTTATGAAAATTTTATAGTCAAAAAATGTTTAAGCTTATAATGATAATAATAATAAAATTAAAGTTTTTTTTTGTACTCATTGAAAAACTTTTTTGATTTCTATAAAATTTTTTTTTTTTTTTAAGTATAAAATTATAAATATAAGTTTTTCCAAAAAAACAAAATCGAATAGATTTTTTTTATTAATAGAAATTATTATTATTTTTATTATCAGATTTTTGAATAGTTTATAAAAAATCTGATAGAAAAAATTCTTGTGAAAATTTGATGTCAAAATTATTTAAACCAATAATAATGATAATAATGAACGTAAAATTTAAATTGTGTTCAGCATATTTGAAAATATTTTTCCAAATAAAAATTAATTTGATATTTTTTTTTTTTTAAATTATGAATTTAAATTTTTTTAAAAATAAAAGAAAATTAAAAAATTTTTTTATTGAGTAAAAATGATTATTAGTATTTAATTTTTAGATAGTTAAAGAAAAATTTGATAGAATACTTTTGTGTAAAAATTCAGGGTCAAAAATTTTTTAAATTAATATGAATAATAATAAAATCTAAATTTCATCGAACTACGTTGAAAAAATTTTTAATTTAAAAAATCCTGCGGTCCATAAACACCACGATATTTTTTTTCCATATAAATAACCAAACACGGAAGAGCGCGCAAAATCCTAAAAAAATCAGGTGACAAAAAAGTTCAACTATTTAAAAAAAAAAATAAAAAACTATTTTTATAGTTTATAGAATCTAGTGCAATAATTATTTTAATACGCGTCGTTGGATCCTTGATATTTTTTATTCATCATTGTTATATAATTTTATTTAGAGGGAAACGTACTCGACACCGTTCTCAGGCATTTTCCTGTTTTATTATAAATTTAATTTAATTAAATTTACTTTTTATTCTCATTTATTTATTCATTTATTTATCCGAGAGTCTTTTCCCGGACAAATTTACTCTTTTTCTACCCAGCACGGCTCTCCAGAGAATTTATGGTCAAACGTTATTCTGCGCAATATAATTCTGGGTCCAAATAGAAAACACTCCGGAAATGTATGTGAGCTGAACATTAATAATTTCAAACATCACCGAAATCTTCTATCCGGTAAAATGCTGTTTCCGGAGCACGATAATTTTTTTTTTTTAATAACTAACTAGCAACCTGCAGTCACTATGCGACTGCCAAGATTTACGTATTATGAATAATAAAATTTGGCTTAATGATTCTTTGATATTTATAATCAGACTATAAAGTTTGGGTACTTTTTAAATTAATTTTAAAAATAATAGTGCAATCATAGGATCAATCACAAATAATTTAATGGACAAATGTGACGGAATAAATTCATAGAATCAAGAAACTATTCAAAACTCTTCCAAAAACTTAAGATAAAAAATTAACTATCACTGAAAAATATATAAAACCGTGAAAAGGCACTAATTCTTATCAAGACCTTTCTGATGATAGCAAATTTAACAATAAAAATTTCTTTTAAAATAATATGTCCATCACAAAATTTTCCTTATTCTTTCAATTTTTTAAATCATTAATGACTATCGTTGAAAAAATATCAAACCCAATTTACGATAAAGATATACCCGTTACTAAATTTTTCTTAGTCTCTTAATTATAGAAATTAATTTTTGACGTAAGGTAAATGTCTCCATTACTGACACTATAAGAGTAATGATGAATATTTGAATTTTTTTATCGTGTTTCAAATCAATATTGTCAACTTTTTTTTATAGAACATCTTAATCATTGTTTTTACTTATATAATTAAATTAATTAACTTTAACAGCAATACATTTAATAATTATTATATCAACTTAAAAACAATAGGTCGAATGTATGCATTATTGACAGCGCAAAAATTCAAAGATCCGATTATTGATATAACATTGATCCCATTATTGACAGGTCTTTTATTACAGTTAAATTTATATTAACAATAATCATTTTTACTAACTAATGCAAAACTATCGATAATTTTTATTATTTTTAAATTCGTTTAAGACCTAGCTTTTTTATATTTTTTACCAGGTTTCTTTTTAGCAATTTTTTCTAGTCTCAAATACTTTGATTCTTATAAAATCACATGACAGTATGTAAACATTAATACGTTAACATGTATGTTGAGGGGGTAAGGTTACCTAACATTATGGCTTAGTTAGTTGACGCAAGTAAATTTTTGTGTCCCCATCATTGACATCCGCTATTTTAAAATTAATTTTAACTCGATAAAGTATAAGTAAATGATTATATGGTTATTTAGACTATAAATAATCTAAAATAATTTTAAACAATGCAATTACATAAAAAAAAAAATTGAGAAATCTGGATTTGAAAAAAAGGTCTTTCTTATCGACATTGTTAAGAAACTACAAACATATAAGCAGTTTTGGCCTACTTGAAAAAATGAAATTTTTTTGCGGTAAATAGTTTATACCTTGGAATTAAATTTTAATATTTTTTAATTTTAAAAATATATAAAATTATCATGAAATATCAACAATCGTGATTATTAACAGATTTTAATAATGAAATAATAAAATTAAATAGGGTGTCAATAGTGGGGGCCCTGTCAATAATAGGGGCTTTTACCTTAAATCAACAATTGACGTTTATCGCGAAATTCAAATCTATTTACAACTACTTTGAAAACTTATCATAATAAATTAATTATGACTGAAAAAAATATGAAACATTGAAAAGATACAAATTTAGGTCAAGACCTTTCCAATGATACTAAATTTAATTATAAAAACTCATTTTATCATATAAATACGCTAGAGATAAAATTTTTCTTGTACTCTTAATTATATAGATTAAAATATTAATCTCGGTAACTTTGAAAAAGAAAAAAAAATATGTATATATTCAATCAGTTTGTTAGTACAAAGCAACGGATCTGATCAAATCGAAGCTTTGATAGGTTAATGATCACCGAATACAGAATCTCCATAAATAGAACGAAATGAAAGCCTCTAAGTCGACTAATTCAAACAGTAGTGAATCAAAGCTAGAACTAATTGGCCTCCAGGTTTGATGGCTTAACGTGGTGCTTCTACTTCAGTGAGTGTCGTCAACATTTGACGGATTAGACTCAAAAACCTATTTTAATGATCTCACAACAGTAGATGCTACGCCGTAGACGTTTTATACACACAAAGTTTGTTAATACATAATGTATAATAATAATGCAGTTTATATCATATAATTTAGTTTAAGGATTAAAGTTCATACCTCGCCTGAAGCGACTGCTTCTCCTGGAATAAACAGCTCCGGGTAGACGTTGTCGAGGTACCATTTGAATGACTTACACCCAAGTTTACTTCTCAGCTGCTTACGCTCTGATACGTCTCCATAATTACCCTGTTTTGAAAAAAATCATCGTTGTAAAAATTTTAAATTATCGGATAATAATAATTATAATTAATAAAGAGAGATAGTTGTTATTTTCAGCCGAGGTACCCGATCCAATTCTTGAAGAATGTTCAATTTTTTATTATTATTCTTTCACCATAATAATTTTTGATATAAGATCTCTTACCATCAGAAGAAATCTTAAAGATGTAATTTTCATAATAAAGATGTAATAATTATAATTTGAATGACATAAACTTATAAGGCGTGAAATTTTCTTTAAAATAAATACCTGCATGACTTAAATGAATTGAAAATATCGAGGCACAAGAAATCGCGGAATTAAAAAAAAAGCGCCATGAATAGGTAAATTTTTTGTTTGAAAAAAAAAAAAAAAAAACACGTTATTAAACAGCAATAATTTCTGAAAATTTATTTTTTATTATATTTTTGTAATTAACGATAGATCGACTATAACAAATAGATATTCAAAGACATATTTTTTAGAAAATAGGATTTGTAACAGATGAAAGTCATTTGATGATAAAAGCTAAAAATTAATTTATTCTCGATTTTTTAAAAATTTTTCCAGCTACGAAATAAATTGAAAAAAGTTTCAAAAGTCGACGAATAATAGCTTAAATGGAAGATAATCATGTGAACTTTAAAATAAATATAATAGATTGAGGCTAACTTTTACGGCTTAAAAACTATTTAAAGAAAAAGAGCCGAAATACGTTCATTGAAGAATTTTTTCAAATTTTCAAAATCACGGAATTAATTAAAAAAATGGTCAAAACTAGACGAATAATAGCTTAAATGAAGTTTGAAATAAATTTAATAGATTTCGTCTATCTTTTACATTTGGAAAATTATTTCCATAAAATATACGAAATTCAAGATTTTTTAATAAAATTTAAAATAATTAAAAAAATTTTCGAACACCCACAACTTTTAAACTCACCGGCCGATTTTGCTCATCTTGAACTTATAGTTTTTTACAAATGAAATTTATTTTTTATTTTTTTGTAATAATATCTTGAATAAAATAAATTCTAAAAATTTTTAGATGTTGGCTAATTTAATTTTTATTGTTAATTAACTTTTAGTGAACAAATGAAAACTCCAGTTAAAGTTTTTTTTTCATCAGTAACATGCGTGATTTCTTCAAGCTTAAGATCTTGACAGAAAATTTTACTGCTCGCGATAAGTTTAATCAATATGAACGATGCAATAAAATAATTTTAAAGTATGAAACTAAGACAAAAAAAATTAACTAATAAATTAGTTCAATAAAAAATTAATTAATTTTATTGTTTGAAAGAATGAAATTTGCTTAACCTCTGACAAACAAACTGGGTAAAAAATACCCACCCCAAAAATTCAACTTAAGTCTAATTTTACAGATTTTGTTCATGTTAAATGTTATTTTAATATTATTAAATTATTTCGGAAATATACCTATCTTATGCAGAATTATTCGAGCTTTATTTAAAAAACAAAAAAATTCCTTTGTCTTTGTTGAATACTTAAAATTAAATTGCACTAGATTTTTTTTAGCCTCATTGATGTTAGAGAAATACCCTTTAGATGTTTGCCTGTCAGGGGTTATTAAAAATATTTTTAATTATGAATTATGACTGACAAAAGCTGCAATATAGACTGAGAGCGCCCGGGGCGCGTTGATAAATAAATTCATATTATTTAACCTAATTGAACAGGTTCTGACTTCTTTGATAGTGCTTAACTAAATTGTAGAATTTCATTTTGAAATGAATGTATGCCCGTTACAAAATTGTTTTTGATTATTTTAATTACATAGAATAATACGTAACACACATAAAGAAAATGCCATAAACAAAACAAAATAAATCGATAAAAAAATTTTTTTTAGTTTGAAATTTTCATCTACTTATGACTACTCCGAAAAGTTATCATAATAAATTAAATATCGCTAAAAAGCATATTAAACTTTTCAAAGGCAAATTCAGGTCAAGCCCTTTCCAATAATAATTAATTAAATTAAAAAATCCATACTATCATATAAATACCCCGAAGACAAAATGTTCTTTATTCTCTCAATTATATAGATTATTACTAGTATAATTATGAGTTATAAAATTCAAAAACAATGAACTTAAATAAATAATAATATTTAAAATAAATTACTATACAATTAAATACTAACCTTATCATGACCTATACGTTGATAATAATACTGTGCATATTCATCTAGCCACACCTCACTCAGTCTAATGCTATTTCTCTTGAGCACGTTTACTCCACTTCTCCATTTGTATGGCGAGCGCTTTCTGAAGATGTGACCAACATGCGAGCACGGTACTATTTCTAAAGTACCTATAACACGTACAGAAATAAAATTATTATTAAATAGTAATCAGACAGAAAAAAAATTAAAAAAGGATATTGATTGTCCTTAAAAAACTAACAAAAACATCCAGCTTATTTCGTTTAATTGATTCCTAGTTTAATATTTCATCCTGTCAATAATTCACCTGCTGCATTGTTTAGGACTATTACCGTGAATTATTATTGAGAGCAAAGGTGAAGGAATTTTTATTTAATAAAAGTTTTATCGGTTATGAAATATTTTACGGCGTCAATATTTTAGACCATATAGTCTTAGAGTACGTACGTGAAAAAATAAACAGTGATCTGTCGATAGTTCATTAAACTTTTCTATTTAATATTTAGTTTTTTTTTTTTTTATCACCAAATTACTCTTTTAATTTTTTTAATAAACTTTCAATAAACATCAAATATTCTCATCATTTAATATAGGAAAAAATTTGGTGCTTAAATATATTTTGGTTAGGTTTTCCTGCTAGCGAGAAATCTAGGCCATCTAGTAGTAAAACCAAAAACTAATTTTAAACTAAATAAAGTTTGCGGATAATATATTGAATTTCAGGTTTAATGTTTGAGATATCACCTCGAATTTGGAGAAAATACTTTTAAAAAAATTTTATTAATTTTAAGAACTGTTTATTTTTTTTAATAAAAGTGAGTTTACTAAATGAAAAATTAAAAAAAATTATTAAAAACTGTCAAAAAATTAATAATTATTTATTTTTATAGTAGCAGTAAGTTTGGTCTTTATATATACTCTGGTAAGATTTTTTTACTAGCGAGAGACGTCGGCCATCTTGCGAAGAAACAAAGAACTAACTAAAAACTTGTTAATTTATAAAAAAAAAAATTTTTAATTAATTTAACTTTAATTTAGAGTTAAATTAAATTTAATTTAAATTTAACTTTTATTTCCTCATTTTGAATTTCTTTTGAATAATAAAGAATTTGATTTGTTCAAGATTCAATTTTGATCACTTTTAAATTGCAAAATTTTTAAAGAACAACATTTCTTTCACATTGAAATCATAGAAAAAAGTTAGGTTCTTATATATAGTTTGGTAAGATTTTTCTACTAGCGAAAGAGCGCAGCCACCTAGCGGCGAAACTAAGAATTAATTTAAGGATACTAGCAATTTTTCAATTAAAAATTGAAAATAAAATAAAAATCAAGGGTATAAATATATATAAAGGTGAAACGTAACTAAAAACTTTTACAAATCAATCTTTGAAACGCGGCCGTGACCTTTTAAATTTTTAAATTTCCTTCGATTTTCAGGTAGTGTTAAGCTCAAAATAAATAATCTATGAGTATGAATAATAAACGTACCTCCACACATCCAAGTTTTAAAAGAGAGTTCTAAATTTTCACCACCCCAAATGTCAAAGCCGCTATCGTAAGTTCCAAGCCGTTCAAAGAAGGCCCGATCGATTGCGAACAGACCACCAGCCATCGTCGGCGACCAAACAGGTTCTGCTGAATTTTTGTGCCGCTTTTTCTCACGTTCCGGGACTGCATGCCAGTTGAACTTAATAATGAACGATCATATTATTTATTGATAAGCATAAGTTAAAATAAAATATGTTTCTTGGAAAAAGCAATAAGTACGAAAAAATTCAACTCTTTTATGAATTTCGCTAAAGTCCGATACATACCTGGAGGTTCCAGTCAAACCCCCCGACATTAACACCACCAGAATCGCGCCAGTGGTATTCTAAAGTAGTGTCGTCGATAACGTCGATCACAGGACAGACAACCGTGGTTGGATCCCTGGCAATCCGGTCCAGCAGGGGTTCTAACCACCCTTCAGTGCATTCGCAATGGCTGTCTAGGTAGGTGAGAACAGGTGCTGTAGCAGCGGCAGCTCCCAACAGACGGGCGCGGATTAATCCTTCACGCTTTGACGCCCGGATTATTTTAACTTTCGGGTAGTTCATCATATAGTCTAACAGCTGCCTCTTTAGATGAGCTGAAAAATGAAAAGTTTGTTGAGAAAGAGAAGAAAATAAATTCTTTAATTTAGTAAAACGGGTTCAATTGATACAATTTTGATAAATGCTAAAAAATTTTGGAAAAAAATGTAAATTTTAGTGAGAAATTTTTGAATTTGGACATACAAGTTCTCTTCAAATTTTGTTCTTGTATGATCACTAGGTCTTTAAAATCAGATAAATTGAATTTTTCAATTGTAATAGTTTCTAAGCTCAAACATATAAAATTTATGTTTAAACAGTCTAGTATTCAATTGATTAACTTGAAACCTAATATTACTAATGTCAGAAAAATAAATTTCCTGTAAACAGTTCCTTATAAATATATATTCTGTTCACAGAAGAAAGTTGAGAACTTATATTTAATCTGGTAAGATTTTCTAGTAGCGAGAGGGGATAGCCATCTAGCGGTGAAGTGAAGAACTAACTTAAAAAAAATACTAACTTCAAATTATTAGGGCCACATTCCGCTAAAATGTAATGATTTATATATAAGTTAGAAAATTTTGAATTCCATCAAAATTTTAAGTCTTTTTATCAATTTTTTGTGAATGATTGGAAATTCCCTGGCAATTCTTAAATTCTAGACTTAACTATCTTTTTAATATTTCCAAAATGAATATTTTTCGTTTTTTGCCTAACATAAGATTTTTATATTTGTTTGTAACTGAAATTGTGCACGTGTATATGTATTTAATAATGTTTTACAAGCAATTATTTATTTATCAACATTTAATTGATACCTTGACATATTGTTTGACTAGTTGGGTCGTTGTTGACTATATAATTTTGACAGTTGTGTATTAAATAAATTGTTTAGAGCCCTGAAGAAGTCAAGAAATTTTGACGAAACGTTGGCAAGAATAATGAAAAATTTTTTCCACATATGGTGGTCCTTATTTCCCGATATTCATCTTTAATTTTTATAAACGTGTACAACAATTTACAAGTCAAAATATACACTGAGAGAAAAAATTATATTTTGTTTTTTCCAAAGAAAACATAATAATTATAAAATAATATAATTTAAAATAAGTATTTTTGAGGTGGGGGGGCTTCGCCCCTGGACCCCGTGCACGAATCACTGAGTTTCATTAAACTTTTTTACTAATTTTGGGCCTGGCAGGATAAAAAATAGTATGTGCAACATGGGACCAAAGTACTACATTTCTGTCCCGGGTATGGGATTGCCACCCGAGCCGAAGGCGAGAAAGTAATACTTTGGTCTCATGTTACACAATATACTATTTGCTCAATTAACAATTTCTTGGCTCAAGAAATTCGCTGACGATCAAATAATCTATTATTATTAATTATTAATTTCTGAAGAGAAGAACATCAATATTTATCTTTGGATAATAGATAAACAAAAGAATAGCTTTATTTAAATTAAGTAAAAATTATTTAAATCAATTTAACAATTTCTTGAGCTAAGAATATATATTCTTGAAAATTTTCAAGAACATAAATTCTTGTATCAAGAAAATTTTCTTACTAAAAGTTTTTTTTCTCTCAGTGTATTAGATAGGGTAGAAGTACCGGTTTCGGCCATCTGAAGACCATTTTTGGCCACTTGATATTTTAGTGAATTTGTCAATAATTTAACTATTCAAGTAGAATTTTTATAGAATTTGTGAATTAGTACATTTATATAAATTGAATTTATAAAGTCGTGCGCTTATAAAAATATTCATATAATAATTTGAAAATAAAGTGGCTAAAAAAGGTAAACTGGCCACAAACGGTACTTCTACCCTAATTATTTACACAGCCAAACATTCAACCAATCAAATTGAAATCCATTTCCAATAATGTTAGATAACAAAATTAATTCTAAATAGTTTTTAAATAATGTATTTACTACAAGCGAGAGAACGTAACCACCTAGTGGTAAAACCAAAAACTACCTTCTAGTAAAAAGTATAAATTTTATGTTTTTTAAACAAGATCACTCTTGAATGTATTCATTTCACACGAAAACTAGTCTTAAAATAACAAATTCTTACATCAGAACATAAAATTCTCTTAAAACGAACTTTGTATTCAAACTAACACTATTTCTCTCTAATAAATTAGTTTTTTTTTTTTTTCAGTTTACATCTCCGACCACGTTTCATTCCTTTTGTTAGTACTCTTGCTAGTTGTAAAAGTTAAAGGTGAATATTTCTCGAAAGAAAGACGTTGGAAAAGGGTCATCAACGTCGCTTCCTTTGCTTTCGGAAGTTGTAAGATAAGCATTCAGCCCGGAAGCTACAATCATAAACACACTTAACGTCTAACCATCCTGAAACTTGCAACAGTTCTGTGTTGTATGTGCTATACACACTCGTAACAGAATTCAGAGCCTAGAATCCAGTTATAACAATAACAATTCACATGTTATGGGTCAAATGGAGCACGTGACCTATTACATTAACATCATGTCTGATCACGCGAAACCTGTGCCCTAGCCTACAACGGTATCTACCGTATGGTAGACATAATATAGGTGGATAGTGAACCAACCCGAGACACCAGAATGCTGCTATCGATACTATTTTATCAGCGAGTTCATCATTGTGACACATCTTTCATCGGACAAATTGCGCTTTAACTACCACTAAATCACTAAACCTTGTTACGGTAATGGTGACAGTAAATTACTGAATTACGGAACAAACTAGAAAGGTCATTAGGTTTTTTTTTTTAAATTACGAAAAAGCAACTTAAGTCGGGCAACATTAGAGCTCTAATTACGAGCATAAATATGTACTTTGTGCAGGCTCATGGCCCAAAGTAATCTAGAATTACTATCCTAGCTGCTAGCTAAGCTTATAAATCATTAGCGAACGGCTAATTACTAGTTCTCAATCATTATTCAAATCTCTCGTGGCTATGACGTTAATCTTAATCTTCCTTATTACTCATCGCGAACAAAGTAAAGTACCCGGTTATTTACCTGCTCCATAGATAGTGCTTAGTATCTATTTAATCTGAGTCAACAAGTCGATAAATATGAATTTTGCAGTAAAAATCGTTAATTCCATCGTCTAATCGTCTCGTTTATCATTTCATATCCCTCCTATAGGATAATATCAGTTTATAATGCTTTAAAATCTTCAATAAAAATAAGTAAAGTAAGAAATTTTTTACGGGTCACTCTAGATTTTTATGAGTTTAGAATGTCAAAAATTGAATTTTTAATATTTTTTATCGTCAGCTTATTATTTAGTAGGTTAAAAATGATTTAAATTCTAAAAATTAAAAGTTGACATTTTTAACTTTCCACTAAGAAAAATTAAAAATTTTTTTTAATTCAGGAAGTTATTGGTTTTACCCCGTTTTGCGAAAATTGAGTTTTCATCAAATTTCGACCTTTTGGGGTCCTAGGAAGCTGCCCTGACTACTCCCGCGATGGTGTCCATGCGGCTGTGTGTGTGTGTGTGTGTGTGTGTGTGTGTGTGTGTGTGTGTGTGTGTGTGTGTGTGTGTGTGTGTGTAGTCAATCCTACTAACTTTGAACAGCTTGACCGATCGGATCGAGATCAAGGTAGATCCAAAGAGAATCATTGCCATTAAATTTCGTGAAAATTTGAATCGATTCGGTTCGCTAGATTTT